CTACTTCCGTAGTGATACTGCCTCGGAAACCCAAGGAGGGGTCGCTATGAGTCGGGGCCGACTCGATGGCAAATAACAACAACAACAACAATGTAGAAATAATTACATAAAACTGTTGCATTTGCAGAATGTTGGAGCCATTTCAGCTTATGCGGACTACTTGACCCCATGGACCTCAGCATCCGGCCTCTTGGAAATGGTTGGAATTAGAAAAATTATGTGAGCAAATGAGTAGAAGCATACTTCACATTACTCAAGCTCACTGCCATTGAGTCAATTTGACTCATAGTGACCTCTCCTTGGGTTTTTGAGGTGGTATCTCTATAGAAGTGGATTGCTCAATCTTCCTTCCAAGGAGTGGCTGGTGGGTTTGAACCGCCAGCCTTCTGGTTAGTAGTCAAGTGCCTTATCCACTATGCTACCAGAGCTCCCAGTGCTGTGATTAGAGTACCTATTTTTTCACTTACTGTAGACAAACCATTGAATGTGTTGGATTCAAAATTTAGTCAAATGGTGACTGAGTATCCTCGGAAAAATTCTGAGAGAATGAGGGTAAATAGAGGACAGGAAATGAGAGCATGGAGTTGACCTTCATGATTTCAAAACTCTGTGTTGAAAGCACATCCCATCCAGCATTCGCTCATTCTCTGGTTGTTTATTAACTGTGACCTCAGAGAGTTACCTAATGATTACTCATGCTAAGTGCCATTGGGCAGATGGCCGTTCCTTTGACTCGTCTTCTTCTTTATAATGGAGACTCAGAGAGGAAACCTCAGCAAACTTTGAATTTTTCTGTCCAGTTGATCATTTGAACCTGGATCAGAGTTTCTTAAGGAGGTATCTTCAGCAGCACCAGATCAGACAGCCACTTTCTCCTGAGACTGCTAATACCGGAGCGACAAGGCCAGACTTGACAAGGTGTCTTTGGGATGGCTACTGATTATTTGTGGTTTGAAGGCATTCCTTTCCCCAGTTATGTACAGAGTGTTGAAACCTTGAAATTCTTGCGGGATGAATTTGTGGTGCAGGATGGAGATGTCATTACATTTTCTTACCCAAAATCAGGTAAGGAAGCTGAAATTGAGAAATAATGTTACTGAGAGATTATATATATGTGTATCAAAATGATGTCCTAATGGAGCTTTTAGTCAGAAAGAGGGATTAAGACAGGCAATTATAATTCAAAGGGATGTGACAAATGGGGTATTTTCTTGTTTTTCTAGTAGTCTGTGATATATTTACTATTCTCTGCAAACACCATCATTCAAAGGCATCAATATTACCTTGGTCTTCCCTATTCATTGTACAGCTCTCACATGCATATGAGGTGATTGAAAGTATCATGGGTTGGGTCAGGTGCACCTTAGTCTTCAATAACTTTGCTTTTTAACACTTTTAAGAGGTCTTTTCCCTCAAACTTTCCTGATGCAGTACACGATTTGCTTCTTGAGTGCTGCTTCTATGGCTGTTGATTGTGGACCTAAGTAAAATGAAATCCTTAACAACTTCAGTCTTTTCTCCATTGGTCATGATGTTGCTTATTGGTTTGGTTGTGAAGATTTTGTTTTCTTTGCATTGTGGTGTAATCCATACTGAAGGCTGTAGTCATTGATTTTCAGTAGCAAGTGTTTCAAGTTCTCTTCTTTTTCAGCAAGCAAAGTTGTGTCATCTGCATATTGTAGGTTGTTAATGAGTCTTCCTCCAATCCTGATCATGTTCTTCTTCATGTAGTGCAGCTTCTAGGGTTATTGGCTCACCATACAGACTTAATAATTATGGTGAAGTGATGCTACCCCGACACACACTTTTTCTAGTTGTAAATCATGTAATACCCCATTGTTTGGTTCCAAGCACTGTCTCTTGGTCTATGTATAGGTTCTGCATGAGCACAGATGAGATTGGTTAAACTATTTGTCTTTAAATAGCAAATTAATGTGAAACCTGTAAGTCATGCTAACAAAGTAGGAAAATATACCAAATGACTGGAGAGCCACAGAAAGGGTTTGAATGGAGAGTGATTAAACATGCACTTAGAGATCACTTGGTGCTCTGTATGTTGGAGAAATAAGTCTGTAGCATAATAGTGGAGAAGATAAAGTTAGATGAGCAGACTGGAACAAGCAATGGCTGCGAGTGGGACTGGGAATTGCATAAGAAATGGTCCAATTTGACCGTATTGAGCAATACTGAGCCAGTTTCAAAGGGATTGGGTCTTTTAGTAGTGCAGGATTTGTCAGCTTTATTTCTATTGACAGCTTGGGCTTAATAACTCTGTATTTTGGGAGGCTGTTCTATGCCTCCACGTGGGATGTTCAACCTCTTCCCTGGACTCTATCTAGTAGATGCTTGTGGCACACATTCACCCTGTTCATGACAAAAACTTCTCCAGAAACAGAGAAATGTCCCTTTGGTGGCACAGTTGCCTGAGGTTGAGAACAACTTGAATAAATGTTGAAGAAGAGAGATGCCTACATATATTTCTGAGATTTCAAACCAGAGAAACCAGGTGGAAGTTGGTCCTGCACACTGAGACAGAAAGAGTTGGAAGAAAAGCATAACTACTGGAGTGGGCATCAGAGAGATCAATAGACTCCATACTTTCAGCCCATAAACCCAAACCCAAACCCAAACTCACCACCATCGAGTTGTTTCTGACTCCTAGTGACCCCCATCGGGTTTGTGAGGCTGTAAATCTTTACAGAAGTAGATCTCCCACTCTTCCTTCAGTGGAGCAGCTGGTGGGGTTGAACCACCAACCTTCTGGTTAGCAGTCAAGTCCCTTATCCACTATGCCACCAGAACTCCTTTTTAGCCCACTGGGTATAATAGAACATGTGGGAAAATGTGAGTGGATTTAAGCTGGAAACAAAAAAAGCAAACACTAGGCAAGTGCATTTGTGTACTGGTCCATCCTATCTTTGGTGTGTTTTCTTAAGAACATTTTGGGAAGCCATGTAGTCTACTTCTGGTCTCATCAGGAGAAGTGCAAATAACCCAATGCAACTATGCAGATGTAGGAAGCTGCATGCAATGGGACACATGAGTGACACCTCTTAAAGAAAGGTCCCTCACCACTCCCCCCTTTTATAATGACATATCTGCAGAAAGGAAGTTGATTTCGTTGTCTCAAAGGGTCGGTGATTCAGTCTCCAGACTGGAATCTCTGATTGGATGGGTTACTGCAGCAGTTAGGGAGTGACTCCTCCTAGTTAATGCAAAGGAAGGAAGCAGAGGGCACCACATAGAACTGCTTTTTCCTCTGTAGGAGTTTCTTTGACCAGAACAAGTTAGCTTTTCTGTTCTGGATCCTTTCAGCATGTTTTCTCACTTTCAGAAATCTAGTCATGGGCAGTCTTAGTTTCAGTTGTCTGGGAGAAAAGTTAATACTTAATTTTTTTGCTTAGAAGTCATGTCTGCTTCCCTGAGAGTGAATCCACTTTTTCTTCCTAGTCCTGTGTATTGGCACTGAGTCCCTGGAGGAAACAATCTTGAAAGGTGGTAAAGCTCACTCTTCTGATGGAGTCAGGAATGTCTGTGGAAGCTTTCTGGTTGATTATTCTCCCTCTATAGTGCCAGCTAGCGCCCAACAGTCTTTACATCTGTGTGAAATATGACAACTTGCATAGAGGGTCAGATGTTGAATATTAGATGAGGAGGATGCATGTTGTTGTTGTTGTTGTTAGGTGCCATCGAGTTGTCTCAGACTCATAGCGACCCTATGCACAGCAGAACGAAACACCGCCCAGTCCTGAGCCAGCTCCATGACTCTTGCTACACTTGAGCCCATCACCACTGCCACCATGTCAATCCATCTCGTTGAGGGCCTTCCCCTCTTCCATTGACCCCCCACCTTACCAAGCATGACATCCTTCTCCAGGGACTGGTTCCTTCTGACAACATGACCAAAGTAGTTGAGACAAAGTCTGGCCATTCTCACTTCCAAGGAGCATTCTGGCTGCACTTCCTCCAGGACAGACTTGTTAATTCTTTTCACAGTCCATAGTACTTTCAGCATTCTTTGCCAGCAACACAGCTCAAAAGCATCAATTCTTCTTTGGTTTTCTTTATTCATTGTCCAGCTCTCACATGCATATGAGGCGATTGAAAATATCATGGCTTGTGTCAGGAGCACCTTAGTCCTCAAGGAGACATCTTTGCTCTTCAGCACTTGAAAGAGGTTCTTTGCAGCAGATTTACCCAGTGCTATACATCGTCTGATGTCCTGACTGCTGCTTCAATTGGCGTCGATTGTAGAACCAAGCAATGTGAAGTCTTTGACAATTTCAATCTTTTCTCCATTTATTGTAATGTTGCTTACGGGTACAGTTGTGAGGCTTTTTGTTTTCTTTATATTGAGATGTAATCCATACTGCAGACTGTAGTCTTCAATCTTCATCAGTAGGTGCTTCAACTCACTTTCAGCAAGCAAAGTTGTGTCATCAGCATATCGCAAGTTGTTAATGATTCTTCCTCCAACTCTAATGCCACATTCCTCTTCATTTAGTCCATCTTCTCAGATTATTTGCTCAGCATACAGATTGAATAAGTATGGTGAAAGGATGTAACCCTGACATACTCCCTTCTTGATTTTAAACGATGTAGTGTTACCTTTTCTGTTTGAGCGACAGTCTCCTGGTCTATGTACAGGTTCCTCATGAGTACAATTAAGTGTTCTGGAATTCCCATTCTTCTCAATATTATCCACAATTTGTTATGATCCACACAGTCAAATGGTTTTGCTTAGTCAATAAAACACAAGTAAACATCTTTCTAGTATTCTTTGCTTTGAGCCAAGATCCATCTGACATCAGCAATGATGTTCCTCATTCCACATCCTCTTCTGAATCCAGCTTGTATTTCTGAAAGTTCTCTGTCAATATATTGCTGCAACCATTTTTGAATTATCTCCAGTAAGATTTTACTTGCATGCTATATTAATGATATTGTTCAATAATTTCCACATTCTGTGGGATCACCTTTCTTTGGAATGGGTACAAATATGGATCTCTTCCAGTCAGTTGGCCAGGTAGCTGTCTTCCAAATCTCTTGGCATAACTGAGTGAGTGCCTCCAACGGGGCATCTATTTGTTGAAATATCTCAATGGGTATTCCATTAATTCCTGGAGCCTCATTCTTCACCAATTCTTTCAGTGCAGCTTCGACTTCTTCCTTCAATACCATTAGTTCTTGAACATATGTCACCTCCTGAAATAGATGAAGATTGACCAATTCTTTTTGGTACAGTGACTCTGTGTATTCCTTCCATCTCCTCTTGATGCTTCCTGCATCATTCAATATTTTGTCCATAGAATCTTTCAATATTGCAACTCAAGGCTTAATTTTTTCCTTAGTTCTTTCAGCTTGAGAAATGCTGAGTGTGTTCTTCCCTTTTGGTTTTCTAACTCCATGTCTTTGCACATTTCATTATAGTAATTGGCTTTGTCTGCTTGAGCTGCTCTTTGAAATCTTCTGTTCAGCTCTTTTATCTCGTCATTTCTTCCATTTGCTTTAGCTACTTTTCACTCAAGGGCAAGTATCAGAGTCTCTTCTGACATCCATTTTGATCTTTTCTTTATTTCTCATATTTTTAATGACCTCTTGCTTTCTTCATGGATGATGTTCTTGATGTCATCCCACAATTCTTCTGGTTTTTGGTCATTGGTGTTCAATGCATCAAATCTATTCTTTAGATGGTCTCTAAATCCAGGAGGGATATTATCAAGGTCATATTTTGGCTCTCGTGGACCTGTTTTAATTGCTTTCAACTTCAAGTTGAACTTGCATATGAGCAGTTGATGGTCTGTTCCACAATCAGCTCCTGGCCTGATTTTGGCTGAAGATATAGAAATTTTCTATCACCTCTTGCCACAGATGTAGTCAATTTGATTCCTGTGTACTCCATCTGGTGAAGTCCATGTGTATAGCCACCGTTTGTGTTGTTGAATAAAGGTATTTGCAATGAATAAGTCATTGGTCTTGCAAAATTCTATCATGCGATCTCCAGCATTATTTCTGTCACCAAGGCCAAATTTTCTATCTACCAGTGATTCTTCTTTTTTCCAATGTTTGCATTCCAGTAACCAGTAATAAGCAACACATCTTGATTGCATATTCCGTCAGTTTCAGACTGCAGCAGTTGATAAAAATCTTAAATTTCCTCATCTTTGGCTTTGGTGGTTGGTACGTAAATTTGAATAATAGTAGTATTAATGGGTCTTCCTTGTAGGCATATGGATATTATCCTATTATTGACAGCATTGTACTTCAGGACAGATTTTGAAATATCCTTTGTGATGATGAATGCCACGCCATTCCTCTTCAATTTGTCATTCCCGACATAGTAGATCATATGGTTGTTTGATCCAAAATGCCCAAAACCTGTCCATTTCGGCTCACTAATGCCTAGGATATTGATCTTTATGTGTTTCATTTCATTTTTGACAACTTCCAATTTTCCTAGATTCATACTTCGTACATTCCATGTTCTAATTTTTAATGGGTGTTTTCAGCTGTTTCTCCTCAATTTGAGTTGTGCCACGTCAGCACATGGAGGTCCTGAAAGACTAACTTTATTCATATCATTAAGGTTGGTTCTATTCTGATGAGGCAGTTCTTTCTCAGTCCTGTTTTGAGTGACTTCTGACCCAAGGGGCTCGTTTTCCTGCACTGGGTTGGACAATGTTTCCAAGCTATTCATAAAGTTGCCCAGTAATATTTCAAACAGTGTTTCTCTGCTATTCATAAGGTTTTCCCTGGCCAATTTTTGAGAAGTGGATGGCCTCCTCCTTCTTCCTAGTCTGTAAGCTGCGTTGAAACCTGTGTACCATGTGCAACTCTGCTGGCATCTGAAAAACCAGTGGCACAGTCTCAAGCCTCAGAGCAAAGTACAAGCCCCACAGAATGATAAACTGACAGACAAGTTTGTCTCCCTTAGCTGTTGGAAACTTCTGTGCCCTCCCCTTACCTAATTCCTACCTAGAACCTGCCACTTTGTGATTCCTGGCCACTCACTCTCTTTCCTGGCTCTAGGGGGCTTGGGACCTAGCCTTGCCTCCCTCCCCTTTACCTGGATATCCTGCTGCTCTGGAGGTCCCCGGCCTCTCCTGCTCCCTCCCTTTCCTGGCTCTAGGGGCTTGGGCCTAGCCATAGGAGGATGCATGGAGATTGAGTATTCAAACCAACAGTAGTAGGAGTGTGTCTCATGGAAGACAGAGAAAAAGTATATCATGAAAGAAGAAGTAATTAAATGCTGTGTCATGGTTGAAAGTCAGATTCAAGTACATACATTCTCTTCTCCTTGTATATCTAGGATCCCATTGGATGTTCGAGATCCTCAGCCTCATCCACTCCAAGGGAGATCCCAGATGGGTCCAGTCTGTTGCTATCTGGGATCGTTCACCATGGTTAGAAACAGAAATAGGGTATGAAAATGTGAAGAATCAGAAATATCCACGAATGTACTCTTCACACCTCCCAATTCAATTGGCTCCCAAGTCTTTCTTCAATTCCAAGGCCAAGGTGAGCTAATAATTGCAATGACACTATTGACCACTTCTCTGTCATATTGCCTTGCGTTGGGGACAGAGTTAAATGTGATCATGGAAGTGAACATAAGAGAAAATTTTGTCTAAGCATCAGTATTAGGTACTAGATTATCTCTTTGGTGTTGATCCATCAGTACTTGTTCTCCATTAGTTAATTTTATCTCTGAACCCCTGCAAATGTAACTGACATTGAATTCCTCATGGTGGAAGCAATTGGATTCTAAATGAGTACCTACAATTCAGGAGATTTGTGGGTTTGTTGCTCAGATTGAAATCCAGCTTTACTTCTCTAATCATATCTACATGTAGTATGTCTTTCCAGTCAATGTCCATACAGGCCCCTTGTGTGTAATTTCAGGAAAGTTCTGACATTGAGGGTCCTTGACAATATAATTGGAATTTCTCTTATGTTGTTGATTTTTATTGTGTAAAAAATATATATACCAAAAAACCAAACTCACTGCCATCAAGTTGGATTCGAGTCATAGCAAACCCTCCTTGGGTTTATGAGGCAGTATCACTACGGAAGCAGATTGCCCAACCTTCCTTCTGAGGAGTGGATGGTGGGTTTGAACCACCAGCCTTCTGTTTAGTAGTCAAATGGCTTAGGCACTACACCACCAGAGCTCCCCCCTTCCCCAAATATATAGGAGTTCTGGTAGCATAATGCCACTCTTCAGAAGGAATGTTGGGCAATCTACTTCCATAATGATACCACCTCAGAAAACCAAGGAGTGGTCGCTATGAGTTGGGTCCGACTTGATGGCACATAACAACAACAAATACACACACACACACACACACACACATATATATATCACAAAACTTTGCTACTTGAACATTTTTCAGGTACAATTCAATGACCTCAATTATGTTTCCTGTGTTGTGCAATAATTCCCACATAGTGGGTACTTGAGATAAAGTTTGTTAAATGAATGAATGGAAGAAGATCAAATTGTAGTCAAGCACTTTGATGGAGATTAGCTTTAGGCCAAGATCTAGGCACAGAGGACTGGATACGTTCATCATCATTATCTTTTTATTTTTTTCTTTCAGGTTATTTACCTAATGAGAAATCCCAGAGATATTCTTATTTCTGGTTATTATTTCTACCAAGTATTGAAATTGGTCAAAAGTCCAGAGTCATTTGAACAATATTTTGAATTGTTTCTCCAGGGAAATGGTGAGTCTGACTGAAGGTAGGGGGTTGAAGTGGAAAGGTAGAGATCTTTCCCTTCATATCACTACCTAGTCATCTCTATGTTTGATTATCTCATTGTTGAAACAGCCACATGATCTTCCAAACCTAGAGTTGCTAAACTCACACTACCTACTGTATAACAAGAGGGTCTCAATCTGCATGCTCTGTTCTGTTGGGAATTTCCTCAGTATAATTTGGCCACTAGGATACTAGTGTTTGTTAAGATGCTAACATTGTGGGAAATTCAGCAAAGGGACCATAATTTCTGTATCCATTCTTACACCTGCATATGCATCTAAACTTATTTCCAAATAAAAAGTTTACATTTTTATTTAAAAAAAAAACTAATAGATGGTGAGATAGATCAAAAGAAAAATGTCTCAGGCCTTCAGTACTAAAATGGTGGTAGTATTTTTCTATCCTGCTAATTCCTGCAACTAAAACTCAAAACACAATCTTTGTGAGCCTCAATCTTAACATTTCCAGCTGATAATTTTCCATTTTTATTATGGGAAATATAAGATATGATCAAAAGAACAGGTAATGTTATAATGGTCTCTCTCTTAAAATACTCATCCACTACATCAAACTTTTCAATTAATTGACTATTTTATTCATCTACACCCTACAACGTATCCATCCTGTCCATCATATTATTTCCAAGCAGAAGTCAGACATGAACCCTGAAATGATCAGGATGAACTATGAAAAGGTACACCACATTCAAATTAAGAAGAATGTGGATTTAATTACACTGAGGTAACTACATCAAGGGACCATGCCTCCCAAATCATTTGGCATGCATTCAAAATATTTAAAACACACACTATTGTGTAGACAGCCATGTTCATATGCTGTCGGTGTGAAGAAAGAATGGTACAAGCCCATGTAGAATAATTTTGAAAATTCTAACAAAATTAGATTAGCACTTTCAAGTTTATGCACAATCCTTACTTTTACACCAAAAAACAAAATACAGGAGCAAATGGGCAAGACAGATGGATATAGATCTGTAGTAGTTCTGGTAAGATGGCAGAATAGGCAGAAAGATGACAAAGAAAAGGGGAACCAATTAACACAGATACAGAAGATAATCCTGGACCCCTGAGCCTTGAAGGGAAGGATATAGAAGTGGACTAAACTCCAACTAGCAGAAGAATTTGCATGAAAACGTCAAAAAAGGAGACATATGGAGCTGAGGTCTGGCAGTGATCCTGACAGCACGGATACCTTGGATATTGCGAAGTGGTGGTAGGACCTAATAATTAAACTAAAAATCGGCACTGCTAGCCAGATACTGCATGGAGCACTGCTCTGGAGGCTGGGGAATAAAAGGGGAAGCAGCGAAGAAGAAGGTAGGCTGAGCTGTGGAATTTTGCCTGTCCGGAGTGCACAGCCATTTTGAATGTTTACAAGTGGCCTGACCATTTTGGATATTTAAAGTGACAGCATTCTCCCAGATTCCAGAGACTTAAGAATGGGCTCCATTTGCCAGGAACTGCAAGGACATTTCAGATGCGGATGACTGGAAAGATGCAACATTCCCCTTGCGACTCTTATACCATACACCCTCTTCATGAACATAGGTGCAGCCATCCCTCACTCCCATGCACCTTCTGGGCTGGCAGGAAATCCGTCCCAGTCTGCATCCTTGGATGGAGCCTGGATGCCCTGCTCTGGCCTGATCCAATCCCCCCCACACTTTTTTTCTGTTTTTTAGTTTGTTTGTTTTTGTCTGTTTCAAAACTACTACAATTATTACTTTTGTCCTTTTTACTATTAATCTTTATTTTTCCCCTCCCAGGTTCTATTTTTCAGTATTTTTTCTTTTCCTTGTTCCTAGTTGCAATTTTTGTCTTTCTCATGGATAACCCGGTTCCTTGTTTTTCTTTGCATTTTTCCCATTTTTTTCTTCATTACTCTCCTTCTCTACCTTTTTTCTCTTATTGCCTTCTCCCCAGATATTGCATTCCACCACCCCCCCTTTTTTTTTCTTTTTCTGGTTGCTGTTCCTGTGTGATTACACAATGTCATTTGTCCAATTGCTTTTACTCTTTTGTTGGTAAAAAAATTGTTATTTTTGTCTAACTGAGTGAAGACAGCAACAGTCTCTTAAAACACAACTACACCTATACCTCCTGCAGCTTCACTTACTGAGTGAGAGCCACCACTTCCTTCTCCACCAACAGGCCAGAGATAAACAACCACCAAAGAAGAGCCTGACTCACCCTTGGCTGCTCTTCACAAACACTTAACAGATAACTAAATACAATAGTGCCACGATGTCTTGGAGAAAACAGACCATCACAGCCCACACAAAGAAGCAAGATAAAGTGGTAGAAACAAGGGAGCAGAATACAGACCCAGAACACATCCCTTAGGAAGAAGCATCATTGGAACTCTCAGATAAGGAATTCAAAAGAATTATATTTAGGTATCTTCAAAGGATTGAGAGACAGATCAAGGAAAACAGACAAAACTCTAGAAGAATTTTGGAAGAAAGTGCAAGAACAAAATGACAAAATAAGTGAAAAATTAGAAATGATTTTAAATCTACAGAGAGAAATCCAGAAGATTAATACTAAATTGTCAGAAATAGATAACACATTGGAAGGGCAAAGGAGTAGAATTGATGCAATGAAGACAGAATTAATGAGATTGAAGACAAATACCTGAATAATTCTTTGGAAAGGGATCAATCAGAAAAAAGATCAAAACAAAATGAAGAAAGCCTAAGGTTCATGTGGGATACCACCAAAAGGAATAACTTACATGTCATTGGAATTCCAGAACAGGAAGAGAAAAATATAACCACTGAGAAAATTGTCCAAGATTTGTTGGAGGAGAACTTCCCTGATATGATATAAGACAAGAATACATCCATTCAGAAAGTCCAACAAACCTCAAACAGGATAGACCGTGAAAGAAAATCATTAAGACATATAATCAGGAAACTAATCAAAACCAAAGACAAAGAAAGAATCCTGAAAGCATCATGGGAAAAACAAAAAGTTACTTACAAAGGACAACCAGTAAGAATAAGCTCTGATTTCTCAGCAGAAACCATGCAAGTGAGAAGGCAATGGGATGGTATATATAAAAGCCTGAAAGAGAAAAATTTTCAACCAA